TGCTTCTTTCTTTAAAACAGTGGGAGGAATTGTGAAAACTACATTTAATGGACATTTCCTTTTCCACATTGTTTTGGTTACTATTTAATTATCATGCCATATGGGGTGAGGGTGGGGGGGAGAAGGGCTAGATGTTGGGTAGAAATTGTGGTGGTATAGCTCGCTGGCTTGTGGGAATCAGGAAACCTGAGCTCAGCTTCCACCACGGTGTATCCATCCTGGCTGTGTGTCTCTGGGCAGTTTTCTTAGTGCTCTGGGCATGTCTCTAAGACAGTAAGTGGGAGGCAGTGTGCTGCTCTGAAGTGGTAGAGGATGCTTCCCCATCTGAGAGTTCTTTCTTTCAATGAACCACAGATCTAGCCCGTAGCTATCCCATTTTGTTTCTGTGGCTCTTGTAGCTTAATTGATTTATTGGTTATTTACAAAAAGGCCCTCTTTTGGTCCCTTCAGATGTGTGTTATTCACATTTCTTACTAAAGCCAGCAGCTGGTCTACATATTCTTCCCATACTTAAACAGATTTCTGCTGTCCTCTTTAGCTTTCATTAGAAAAATCATTTAAACTTCATTTCGGGAAAGCAGCCTTCTAAAAACATCACCGTATTGGTGCACTTGACAATAATATGTAGTCCACGTCAGGGTGAAATCTTTGTCTGTGCAGGGATCTCTCCCTGCTTTCTTTTGTTTTCCACATCTGAAAGAAGGATCATAAGATCAGAGGTTTTATAGCTGGAAGGACACAAGACATAAAGTCATTTTATAATCTCCAGTAGAGTCAAAGCTCTTTAAGGATATTTTTTGTCTTTGTGTATCAAAAAGCTAGTACTGGGCTTGGAGTCAGGAAGACTTGCGTTCCAGTTTGGCCTCAGGCACTTACTAGCTGTATGACCCGTGGCAAGTTACTTAACCTCTTTTTGCCTCAGTTTCCAGAACTGTAAAATGGGGATAAGAATAGCACCAACCTCCTGGGATTGTTGTGAGGACCAAATGAGATAATAGCTGTGAAATGCTTAGAGCATTCATGGTACATAAGAAGTGCTACATAAATGTTAGCTTTTATTATTGCACAGCATAGTTATATATTTAATAAATGCCGGTTAAATTGAATTTAGGTAACTGATGAAGTGACTTTCTTAAGGTCACATGGGTTGATCATTGACAGAACTGGATTTGAACCTGGGTCCTTTGATTCCGGAACAAAAACTTTCCATTGGACCACATTGTGAGAAAATAATTACAGTTATTTTTTTTATGCTCATAAAAGAAAAATGGCCCTTTTTCTAGCACAGTGTCTAATATTAGAGCACTTGGTAACCTCCCTCCCAAATATGTGGCAAATAAAGCAGTTTAGAGTTCATTACCACAACTTGTATGTATCCCATTTTAAATGAAGTGTTCAAAGATTTTCACAGCAGCATATATTAAATACAATGAAGCAACTTAAAGGTCCGCTATGTGAGGGACCGATTTTAAATGGTATGTCATCAAGACAGACAAGCATGAGGAATCCAAAGGTTTCTGGAAAGACCAGTTAATCTGGAAGAACAGGCTATACACAAGTACTTATCTCAGACATGACAGGTTTTTAGTTAAGTTGACAAATTAATTGCAAAACCTTTGTTACAGAGAAGGCAAAAAGTGTGTATCCATGAGGACAGCTCAGGCAAGGCTGGGGAGACCTAGGAGTAAGGTAGCTTTGTAGAAGGACCAGTTGTCCCTTGCAGGTCAGTCACAGCTGTTTTCCTTAGATTAGCAACTTCTTTAGATGACAGGCTGCTTATATTGACTGTCACAGTCTTTTCAGTGTTCATACTAGGAAGCTGGATTTGAAAATGACAGTTGTCACCAAAAGCAACAGAACTGTCTTGGCTGTCTTTGTAAAATCCCAGAGTTGGGTTTTAAAATTTTTTTTCCCAAATTGACATGCGGCCCATACACAGAGGGCTTAGTAGTGAAGCGAGTGACTGGTTTTAACACTAGCTGTGTAGGTGCATGGGTTTGAATCCTGACTTCTTGTCACAAGGGGTACAATTGTAATGCAGCACATTATTTTATCATTTTAGGTAGGAGGGCCCATTAAGCCATGGAAAGCAGCAATTACTGCTTCATCTTGCCCCAGACCTCTCTCTTCCTACATCTAAACGATAGGGAAATGTACTCTTGCATAGCTCAGCACAGCCCATACCTCCAATGCAAATGGATAAGAAAGCTTGCAATATAATTGCTTTAGATAATTATGTTTATACCAGAGACCAGGACACCTGGTCTGGTTGGTGTGATCTCTGACCCGTAATGATGGGGTGCTCGGCTGCTTGTGCTTGTACTTGTGCCCCAATTTCTCCCTAGTCTCAGAAACACTGTCTCTGACAACCACTCCCCAGCCCAAGGACACTGTGCCTAGCAGTTATTCATGCATGGGCCTCAGCATGACCCTTATCTCTCTCCCTGGTACAGCTAACACAGAGCTGGGCTGCTCAGGCCCCAGCCATCAGATCATGTCTCTGGAAGCCTCCCAATTCCTTAGTAAGTTCCTGTGTTGTGAGAAAGCTTTCCCTTGTTGCAGAGCATTCTCTCATCAAGACAGAGGGACAGGGGTGTCCTCGGCCAGCCCAAGGACTCTTCCTCCTGCCAGACTCCAAAGATCCATCCCCCTCCCTGTCTGGTATACTCCCTGTACTTTCCCATCCATAGCCCCCAAAGACACCTGCACCTTTGGATTACCTCATCACTGTCCCTGGCATTTCTTTCCCATGCTCTTTTCCATATAAACCCCAGCTCGACCCCTGATCGCTGCTGCTTGATGTGGGGGTGCGTACCCCTTGCAGCCACGCGCTAATAAATCCACATTTTAAATTACGTCTGGGTCTCGCTCGCTGATTTCTCGGTACAACACAATGTTGACCTCTTTGGGCTTTTGGTTTTTATTGTCCAGTGATGGTATTGCAGCCTCAGAGGATCCTTCCAGCTCTACATCTAGAGCTGAGACTCAGATCTTTAGCTCTTTCTCTGTACTTTTGTTTTCCTTCTGGAAAAAAAAAAGTCATGGCATTTGAATCATTCCTCCATCCCTGGGGGGAAAAAACTATAGTAGAGAAATTAAAGTAACTCTAAGGATCCACTTCAAGCCCATCAGATTGACAAAGCTGAAGAAAAATGCTGGAGGGACCCCAGCACCCTTGCTGGTGCTAGGACCTGGTCCGGCAATTATATCCAAAGTTATTAAACTGTGATCCTGTGAGCCAGTGATAACAAAAGAGAGCAGAGGAGGAGGAAAAAGAGCCAGAGGCACAAACATCTTTAATGCCAGCTCTTTTTGTGCTGACAAAGAACTGGAAACTAAATTTGAAAGACTGAAGAACTCTGAGTGATGCAGTGACCAGAAGGTGCATGAAAAACATGCTACTCACCCCTGACAGAAAGGTGATGGACCCTGGGTACAGACTGAGACGTGGATGGGACTTGCCCAGTACAGGAATTTATTTGGCTTGACTGTGCACATTTATTACAAGGGTTTTGTTTTTCTTCCTTTCTCAGTGAGGGTTGGTGGAAGGTGGGAGAGAAAGAATGATGGATTTTTGTAATTTGAAAAAAACATTTTTTAAAAAAAGATAAACATTATAATGGTGTTTATTGGGATCATTAAAGCTTTGCAGTTTACTGAAGGGCTACTAGGTGGGGCAATGGATAGAGTGCTAGGCCTGGAATCAGGAAGACTCATCTTCCTGAGTTCAAATCTGGCCTCAGATACTTACTAGCAGTGTGACCCTAGGCAAGTCACTTAATGCTGTTTGCCTCAGTTTCCTTATCTGTCAAATGAGCTGGAGAAGGAAATGGTAAACCACTCCAGTATCCTTGCCAAGAAAACCCCAAATGGGGTCACAAAGAGTCAGACACAACTGAAAAATAACTAAACAATTTCCTGAAGGCAATCTAGCTCCATCCTCTTCTCTCCCTTTATTATTTTTAATCTATCTGTTTTTCTCATACACACACATAACATATACATCTATGTGTATATATACCTACATGTGTACACACCATCCCAATATGTGTGTGTGTGTGTGTGTGTGTGTGATGCTGTTTCTGTCTCCTATGCTTAAATCTGGCACTCTTCTGTGTGAGAGTTGAAGTGTGGTAGCTCCATTATCCCTGAAGGTTTGTACTTTCCCAAGTACAAAGAATAAAAGAACTGCTCTTCTTAAGGAGCTGACCCTTTTAAGGCGTGTCCCAGGATGATCTGGCCTGCTTACACCCAAGGGTCTCATGCACTTTGGCTGTATCCTTGTAACTGGGTGCCATAACCTACCCCAGGTCATACAGCTAGAAGATGTCCGAAGAAGAGCTTAAACCCGGGTCTTCCTGACTCTTAAGACCGCCCCTCAATCCATTTTTGCATTGTCTTTACTCTCCCAACAAAGTAGCTGGTTTTTTTTTAGAGGGGGGGCAATTTTAGCCTGTGTTTGTGATAGACATTGCAAAGTCTGAAGGCAGGTCCCAGTCCAGAACCATTTCTTCTCGGAATGACCCTGTAACCCTGTCACATCTCCCATACAACCTGACAGTTAAAAGCCACTTTTAAAATAATAATAATAGCCAATTTATAGTGCTTTAAAGTTTTGCAAAATAGTTTATGTCTCCTTTTATCTATCACAATAAACCTATTTTGGGGCTTTCATTGTTTTTCAAGTGAGGAAACAAGCTCAGAAAGGTTACGACTTCCTCAGGGTCATTCAGCCAATAAGTTTCTTCATTCCTATTTGCTTCAGTCCTAGCTGAGGTCCCTTTCAGCTCTAAATCTCTGATTCTATATATGTTTGTCTGACCTTCCAACTAATGGCTAGAAAGGGCTATATTGTCTGATTTGAATTATTTTTTTAAAATTTGGGTCTGAACACAAACTCTTTTGGCCTTGTTTCTGTTCCTGCCTAAAGTAATTAAAATTAGACCATCATTTGCTATATGAATGTGATTGATGGACTCTTTCTTCCCCTTCCCCCCTAGTTATGAAAAACCTCCTCCTGGACTTATCAAGGTGAGTATAGTTCATTATTTTGCTGTTTATAATCTAATCATTAAAAATAATTGCATTTTGAGTAAACTTTTGTAAAATCAGATAATTATAAGATGGCATAATGATTCTTAAGGCACTTTTGGTAACACTGTTTCTCTGCTACCAGTGATTGTTTTTTTTTAAAGTATTTTGTGAATGCATCCAGAGTAGGGCTTGAAACCTTTTTAATGTCTCAGACACCTTTGGTAGTTTGGTGAAGCCTAGAGACCTCTTCTGTAAATGCATAAAATAAAATATGTAGGATTCTAAAGGAAACCAATTACATTCAAGATTTAATTTTTTTCTTACCAAGTTCATGGACTCTCTGAAATCTACCCACAGACCCCACGGGGGGTTTCAGAACTTCCAATCTATAGGATGCGTCCGTGTGGACACGTCCTCTGTCTTCTAGACAGAGGCCCAGCTCAAGCTCCACCTCCACCGTGTACTGCTCTTTTTCTTACTGATGGCACTTCTCTTATATGCCGTTATCTTTTCACATTGACTGTGCTGCACATTTTAGTACTTTATTATACAGACTAGGCTCCCTGGCTAGGTTTTAGTGCCTTAAGAATTAGAAGGCACATAGGGAAACACTGTTTTCCAATGAAAGAATCCTTTCCACAATGTCTCAAACAAATGACCATTTAAAGCCTTTTTTTTTTTTTTTGGTAAGGCAATTGGGGTTAAGTGACCTGCCCAGAGTCACACAGCTAATTAGTGTTATGTGTCTGAGGCTGGATTTGAACTCAGGCCCTCCTGACTCCAGGGCCGGTGCTCTATCCACTAAGCCACCTAGCTGCCCCCTAAAGCCTTTCTTTAAAAATGATAGGAAGCTCATTAACTTTTTTGTTTTGTTTTGGTTTTTTGGTGAGGGAATCGGAGTTAAGTGACTTGCCCAGGGTCACACAGCTAGTAAGTGTCAACTGTCCGAGGCCAAATTTGAGCTTAGGTCCTCCTGACTCCAAGGCTGAAGCTCTATCCAGTGCCACCTAGATGCCCCTAAAGGGGATTCATACGCCTGGTGGATTTTTTTTTTCGTGAGGCAATTGGGGTTAAGTGACTTGCTCAGAGTCACACACCTAGTAAGTGTTATGTGTCTGAGGCCGAATTTGAACTCAAGTCCTCCCATTAAATCTTGAAAAGTTTGTTTCATAGTTAATAGTCTAGTTATTAGAAAATTCAGTTCATTTCAAGAAACACTCATTAATCATTGACTATATGTAAGTCATTCTGCTAAATTCCAGAGACTCAATGGCAAAACTGAAATCATCCCAAACTTCAAGGAATTTCTATTCCACTGAGGAGCTAAAACAGCAAATATACAGATAAGCAAATAAAATACAAAGTGTATACCCAGTAATACAAAGTACTTGTTTCAAAAAGGAGAGAGCATTAACAACTGGGAAAGGATCGTGATAGGACTCATATAGCAGGGACCTGGGTTGTGGTTTGAAGGAGGCAGGTCAAATGTAGATTACCTGTACCAAAGAGAAACACCTAACTGGAAAATCTGATTGGATAGGAGTGTGCAAGGGGAATGTTATGGAATTAAACTGGAAAAGGGAAAGCCAAGTTATGGGAGGCATTGGTTTTTTGTCTTCAATGCCTCAAGGTAATAGCCGAAAATTTTGGACAGAATAATGACATGGTTAGACCTGTATTTTAGGAATATCAATTAGCAGCTGTATGGAATGTTGTATGGATGGAATATTATTAATTGGGTGGAGGCTTCTGCAATATTCCTGGCTAGAGATGAGTTGGACCTGAACTAGGGCTTGAGTCTGTAGGAATGGAGAGGTGAACACTGAATGCAAGAGATGTTATGAAAGCAGAATTGACAAGATGTGGGAACTTGGATCAGGAGTGTGAAGAAAAGTTATACGAGTTAAGGATGACTGAGGTTGCAGATCTAGGTTACTGGAAGGGTAGTAGTGCTGTCAACAGAAATATGAAAGTTTGGAGGAAGGATAGTTAGTGAGGTTTGGGGCATGTTGAGTATGAGACACTTAAGGGATCTCTGGGTAGAGCTGTCCTTCAGCAGTCAGTAATGCAGGCTGGAAGTTCAGTAAAAAGATGATTGAGGAGTCATCTGCATGGGAACTAACAAGTAATCAAAGCAGAGGAGACAGCTGGTATTCAGCCACACTTACAGGGCAGGAGCACAATGACCCAGCAAATGACCCTAAGAAAGAGTAGCAGACAGGCAGGAAGAGAACTGAGAGAGAGCAATGGGATGAGAACCAAGGAGGGTTTGTTTGGGAGGAGTTAGGTATCGATGTCCAAAAGAATGAGGACCAGAAGACTGAGCAGTGAAGAAGCCACAGGATCATTCCAGTTAAATAATGGGATTGAAATTGATGCTATAAGAGATTAAGTGAGTGTCAGATGAATGGTGAATGCTATTTCTAGGTTAGGTCAGAAACTTTCATTTTGTTTTTGTATCCCCAGTGCCTAACCCTGTGCCCCGTACAAAGCAGATGCTTATTAAAATGTCGAATTGAGTTCATTATTAAATCATGAATGAAGGTTCCACATGGATGCTAACTATGTAAGAGGCAGCTAGGTGGTCCAGTGGATGGAGCACCGGGCCTGGAGTCAGGAAAACCCAAGTTCGAATCCAGCCTCAGACACTAGCTGTGTGACCCTGGGCAAATCATTTAACCTCTGTTTGCCTCAGTTTCCTCATCTGTAAACTGGGGGTAATAATAGCACCTGCCTCTCAGGGTTATGAGGAGCAAATGAGATGATAATTGTAAAGTGCTTGACACCCCTGGACCATAATAAGCCCTGTTATAAGCGATAATGATAATAATAATAGTAATTATTACTTATTTGGGATGGACTAATATTTCATTCATTCAGTGCTGATCCATAAATGACCTCTCTAACCATGAAATTAGTTCTGTTTGTTTACTATTTAGTAATAAATTTTGCATAAACGTAAGCACTGTCACACTACAGTGAGTTTTCTTTTGACACCACACTTATCCTCAGTTGAAGGCTAGAGAAATGATTCATTTATTAAAACTATTAGATTTCTAACAAGCACCACATCCAGAATTTGGAAAGAATGGCAGCATCCTTCCAGGTGAAAGGAGCTATTTCCATTGAAATACTGTTTACATTTTAGAAAGCCATGCTTTGATTTTAAAATCTGACTTAGAAATTATCTCTGAGTTATTTATTCTAGTCTGTTTTCTGGGAATTTTCTTTTCCGTTTAAATTGTGACTTTATATAAATTTTTAAAAAATCAATTTCTTTTCATGTGATTTAATTTTTCCTAGTATTTCTGTCTCTTTTCTGGTACATAAAATTTGTCTGCATTTGGAGTTCCCTGAAAGGGATAATGTGGGAGGGGTTTCTTCTTTTTCTCTCATCTCCATCAAGGGGATGGTGAGATGTGCTCCAAAACAACTTAAAGAGAAGGCTGGTCCTTTTGGCTTTTTGTTTACAGATTTTCTTCTTTGTTTAGGAAGATGAGACCAAGCCAGAAGACTGTATACCAGATGTACCAGGCAATGAACATGCCAGAGAATTTCTGGCTCATGCTCCAACTAAAGGCCTCTGGATGCCCCTGGGGAAAGAAGTCAAGGTTATGCAATGTATGTGATCTCTACCTTTCTCATCATTCAGAATATCTACAGTGTCATCAATTTGTGAATTTATATTCATGTTTTTCCCATACATAGGTAATTTACTTAACATAGGGGAAGCTTCTTAGAGTACCTAGCTTTCTTCAAGACTTAGCTCAACGTTTTTTCCACTTTCTCAAAAAGACAACTGGAAATACTTAGTTTTAAGAAAAGACAGGGCAGGGGGTGGAGGAAAGGGGACTGCGACAGGTTATTGTGATGTAGACTTGTTCTGTCTGGCCGGGGGGGGGGGGCGATACTATGAGAGAGATGTGGAAGACACAGTGAAGCAAACTTAGACTTATATTAAAGGAAAAATTCAAAATAATTAGAGCCATCTAAAAGTGAAAGGGAACTTGGTGACGTAGCTATTCATTACATACTCCCCTATTATAAAGGGTGTCTTGAAGAAAGGCTCACTCTATTTATGTATGTGTTACATAATTAGTCAGTTGCATTTACTTTCCAAAATGTGAATGTCAGGGGCAGCTAGGTGGCACAGTGGAAAGAGCACCAGCCCTGGAGTCAGGAGGACCTGAGTTCAAGTGTGACCTCAGACACATAAAACCTAGCTGTGTGACTCTGGGCAAGTCACTTAACCTCAATTGCCTCACTAAAACAAAAAACAAAACAAAATGTGAATGTCATAAAGACTAACTTGATGTGACTGAAAGTCTTCTGTTTTGTGTAACCAACGTGGGCGGTTTTACTGAAACGTTGACTTTTTTGTTGGCTTCTAGGCTGGCGCTGTAAACGGTATGGACACAGAACAGGGGACAAAGAATGCCCGTTCTTTATCAAAGGCAATCAGAAATTAGAACAATTCAGAGTAGTAAGTACAAAATTATAGTATCAAGATGTATTTTCCAGATACTGAATTTTGGTGGACATCTGCATGATGACTTGTCTAAGAGAAGGTTAACTTCCTGCTGGCACTATATTTGGTTCACCACAGCACACATATCCCAACTTATGCCCTACAAAACGTTTTCCCCAAAATAATTCAGCAGAATCCTCTAATAGAGTGATTGCAACTTAGGCTGTATGTCACTTTTCACTTTGGTAGTTATCTGATTGCTAAAAGAAACATGCAGCTTTAACTGGTTAAGTCCAGTACCTACATTAACAGCTGTGTTTGACTTGAATTGTGTGGCCTTCATTTATGTCACTGCAGTCCCTGTATGTGGTGTTCTTTTGTCCCTTTGTGGCTTTTGCTGTCCTTACTCAGTTTCTGTGTCTTCTCTTGTTTCTCATCGTTCCTCACATTCGTCATTCTTCAAAGTGTAATGATTTCATTGCATTCATACACTCGAGTTTGTTCGATATAAGCAAATGTTTTGTTTTCTGCTTTTTGCTTGACTAATAGTGCCACTTTAGGTATTTTTATACATCTAGGTCATTTCTTGCTGTCATTGATTTTCATGGTATAAGCCTTGTGGCAGGATTCCTGGGCAAAAGTATAAAAATAGCTTAATAAACTCTTCTTGAATAATCCAAATTGTTTCACAGAATGGCTAGACAAATTCTCAGTTCTGCCTGCAATGAATTTGTATAGCTATCTGCCTGTCACAGTCTTAACAGTGAATTTTTCTACCCTATTACCAATTTGATGGGATGTGAAGTAATACCTCAGAATTGCTTTAATTTTCATTTCTCTGATTATTTTTTTTAGGTAGTTGTTGACTAAAGTTTTTACTGAAATTTATTCATATCCCTTGACTTCAAAAGTGCTGTTGATTTTTGTTGTTTTTATTTATAATTTACTAAATCATTACATATCATTAAATGTATAAATGTTTTTAAGCTATCATTAAAAGACATTATTTGATTACAGTTTGTAAAGTGTGATGTTTGTAAAAGACTAAATCTTATCTGTTAGATCACATTTTTACTTATCTCAGAGGATTAGTACTAAATCATTATAATGCCAATCAAAAAGCATTCATTAAGTGTTTACTCTGTGTCAGTCACTGTATTTAGCACTAGGGATAAAAAAAAATGAAACAGATCGTATCCTCAAGAAGCTTATACTCTAACAGAAACACTGTGTGATGACCAGTTTTGACAGACTTAGCTCTTCTCAGCAATGCAGTGATCTAAGACAATTCCAAAAAACTAAAGATGGAAAATGTTATCCACATCCGGAGAAAGAACTATGAAGTCTGATGCAGATCAAAGCATGGTATTTTTTCTTTTTTTTCTTTTTTGTGGTTTTTCCGTTTGGTTCTGATTTTTCTTTACAACATGACCAATATGGAAATATGTTTAATACGATTGTACGTGTATAGCATATATCAGATTACATGCCGTCTTGGGGAGGGGAAGGGAGGGGGAAATTTTAGAACTCAAACTCTCATAAAAGGGAATATTGAAAATTAAAAGTAAATACATTTTTTTAAAAGAAGCTTACAGTCTATCAAGAGAAACAATATGTACCTATATAAGGACATACAAAATAAATACAAGGCAACTGTAGACATTAGAGGGAAAGGAACAAGCATTTATTAAGTGCCTGCCCTATACTAGACGCCGTACTAAGTGTTTTAGAAATATCTTACTTGGTCCTCATAATAGCCCAGAGAAGTTTTATTATTATCTCCATGTTACACTTGAGGCAGCTGAGGCTGAGAGAGGTTAAGTACCTAGGTTTACCCAGCTGGGAAGTGTCTGGGGCCAGATCTGAACTTCATGCTCAGTACTCTTTTCTACTGTGCCACCAGTCAGGAAAGGCTTCATGTAAAAGTTGGCGCTTGAGTTGAATTTTGAAGAGGTGGTGGTGAAGAGAAACGTGCATCCCAAGCATGAGAAGGAGCCAGTCTTGTGGCTACAGCTATGACTGGAAATGGAGTGTCATATCCCAAGAAGAGCAAGAAAACCATTTGGCCTGGACTGTATGTAGACACCTAAAGAGGGAGAGAGGCAGGGCTGGAGCCAGGCTATAAATGAAAGTCTTTAAATGTCCAAGAGAGGAGTTTGTATTTGATCCTAGAGGTAACAGAAGGACAACAAAGTTGATTGAGTGAGGGATGAAAAGGAGGTTGGCTTACAGAAGGGAGACACCCGAGGCCTGGGAAAACCAGTTAGGATACTGTTGGAATAGTGCAGGAAAGAGATATTGAAGGTCTGTGTCAATTAGGATGGTGTCCTGGTAAGTAGAGAGGAGATGGAAGCAAAAGATGTCATAGAGGTAAAAACAAGATTTGACAACTGATTGGATATGTAGAGTAAGGGAGAGTGAAGAGTAAAAGATGAACTGAGTTTGTTAAACTTGGGTAACAGGAAGGATGATCATGCTCTGAAAAGAAGTAGGAAGGATTGAAAGGAGAATAGATTTGAGGAGCATAGGAATGACTTCTGTTTTAAACATGCTGAATTTAAACCGCCTGTGGGAAGTATAGTAGGCAGTGTCCACTAGGCAGTTAGTGATGGGGGACTAGAGCCCAGAAACCATACTAGAGCTGGAGATGAAGAATTGGTAATCATCTACATTAAGATGATAATTAAAACCACAGGAGCTCACGAATTCACCAATAGATAGTGTGTCAGGAGAAGAGAAGAAGGCCTTGTCATGAAAACCCAGAGAGTGAATGCAAGTATCTAGAAAGAAAGGATGGCCAACAGTGTCAGATGCTGCAGAGAGATCAAGAAAGATGAGGACTAAGTAGAGCCCATCAGATCTGGCAGTGAAGAAATCACTGGTACCTTTGGTGACAGCAGTTTCAGTTGACTGATGGGACTGGAAGGTAGAATGCAAAGGATTGAGAAATGAGAGGAAAGGAAGTAGAGGCAGCAAGTGTATCTAACCTCCCTACCTCCTACCCCCAAATTTGGCTGTAAAAGAAAGGAGAAATACAGGACAGTAGCTTGAGTGGTGGTAGGGTCTAATGATAGATTTTTTAAGGATGGGGGAGATTTTACCATGTTTGTAGGAGGCGGGGAAGGAGAGATTGAAGATGGTGGGGGAAGGTGATAAATGTGCTGGAGAAGATAGGATAGGATGCATATAGAATGGTTGACTTTAAGGAAGGACTACCTCTGGTCAGAGCTCTGGGTCTCTATTTTGTACTGGAGTTAGCTGGTCCTACAGTTGAGGTAGCCATGTGTTTGGACACTTGTGGGACTCTCTGAAAAATCTTATGACTGTCACTGTTCTGACCTATATTTCTAAGCAGGAGGAACTTAGCAAGATGACAAGTATTGTAAAGATATCACCTGTTTCATATTAGAGACTGGAGTTCTCTAAAAGGTTTTTGAAAATCGCTTCCATTTTAAATGAGGTAACTTCTACCAGATGTCATAGGGGTGAAGACAGTACCTTGGTCCTTTTATCTGAATTTCAAAACCTTTGCCTAGCCAGAGATGCAAAGGATTTTAACTAAAGCCTCCAAAGACTTGTAACCAGAAACTTCAGTCTGCTTTATAACAAGCATATCTCTTTATTAAAATCACAAAAGCTAAACTGTAAACAAGCACTAAATAGAAAAATGCTTCAAAACAAACTTTTTTAAAAAATAAGCTTTTTAAAAAAAAATTTATTTTTTTCATTTGGCAAGTCAATTGGGGTTAAGTGACTTACCCAAGGTCACACAACTAGTAAGTGTCAAGTATCTGGTCTGAGGCTGGCTTTGAACTCAGGTCCTCCTGATTTCAGGGCCGGTGCTGTATCCACTGTGCCACCTGCCCGCCCCCAAAACAAACTTTTTTATTTGTTTTATTTTTGTTTTTTTTGGCTAGGCAATGGGGTTAAGTGATTTGCCCAGGGTCACACACTAGTAAGTGTTATGTGTAGGAGGCCGGATTTGAACTTGGGTCCTCCTGAATTCAGGGCCAGTGCTCTATCCACTATGCCACCTAGCTGCCCCATCAAAACAAACTTTTAAAAGAAATAAATTCTAACAAAGATATCTTTCCTAATTATTTTTAGTACTTTCATATTTTTAAAAATAACTTTTGTTCATTTTGGGTTTTTTTAATCAGCAAAAACACATACTCAATTCCAGCTTCATCCCATTCCCCAACAGAACAACAAAAAAAATCAAAACTCTTTTTTATAATCATGTATAATCAAAACAAATTTCCACATTAGCTGTGTCTAAAAGAAAACTATAAATATAGATATACATATGTGTGTATGTGTATGTATATACAGTGTCTCATTTTGCACTCTTGAGTCTTTCACTCCTCTGTTAGGTTGTATATCGCTTGTTTCATCATTGGTCCTCTGGAATAGTGGTTGATCATTAAAATGAACACAGTTCCTAAGTCTTTCAAATTGTCTTTACCATATTGTTATCATCGTATAAATTATTCTTCTGGTTCTGCTCACAAGTCTGCCTAATGCAGACTTGATGAAGACTTCATACAAGTCTTCCTTTATTTCTCTGAAAGCATTCCCTTCATCATTTCTTATAACACAATAGTATTCCACCCCATTCATAAACCATAATTTGTTCAGTCATTCCCCAATTGACAGGCACCTCCTCAGAGTTCCATTCTTTGCCACTTCAAGAAAGCTTATGTTGTGTTATCCTTAGAGTTGGTTTGCCCAGAACTGATCCCTCCCTTCATCTACCTTCTTTTAATTCTTCCTTCTCTCCCTTCCCTCCTATTTCCTATTGAATGAAATCTTTCTGTGTCCAGCTGTGTGTGTGTGTATTCTCCTGCCTTTGACCAGTTCAGATGAGAGTGAGTTTCAAGTGTCAGCTGCCTCCCCTCTAGCCTTCCTTCTTGTTTATACAGACTACTTGTGCCCCCTGATTACTCGAGATAATTTTCCCTAACTTCTTTTCCCTCCCCCCCCCCCCCAGTATGTTCCTCTTCCCCTCTCTTTCCAGTTTTCTTTTAAGGTCAAGTTCTAAGAGAATCCCTCCCAGGCCTGCTGTCTAATTAGACTTTCTCTATGACCACTAATGATATAACACATCTCCTCATGTTGGAATGTAAGCAGTTTATCCTTGTTTAGTCCCTTATGTCGTTTGTTCGTATTTACCCATCTATGTTTCTCTTAACTCCTGAGTTTGAACTTCTTGTTTTTTCATCAGGAATGCTTAGAAATCCTTTAGTTCATTGAGGGTCCATTTCTCCCCCTTTATGATGTACTCAGTTTGCTGAGGAAGTTATTATCCTTTGCCTTGTAGGATATCATATTCTTTGCTCTTTTCTTTATAGGGCTGCTAAATCATGTGTGATCCTGACTATGTCTCCTTAGTACCTGAATTTTTTTCTTTCTGGCTGCTTGCAGTAGTTTTCCTTTGACTTGGCAACTCTGGATTTTGACTGTCATCTTCCTGAGAGTTTTCATTTTGGAGTTTCTTATAGGAGGTGACTAGTGGATTCTTTCTATTTCTCCTTGGCCCTCTGGTTCTAAGAGATCGACTCAGTTTTCTTTTGACATTTTTTTTGAAACATATCTTTTTTTGGTCGTGATTTTCAGGTAGTCCAATTAATCCTTAAATTTTTTTCCTTGATTTGTTTTCTAGGCTAGTCATTTTTGCTATGAAATGCGTTACTTTTCCCCTATTTTTTCAGCCTTTTTGCTTTATTTTAATATGTGTCTCATAAAATCATTAGCTTCTGTTTAGACCATTCTAATTTTCAAGATGTTTGTTGTTCAAAGTTTTGAACCCTTGTGCCAAGCTGTTATTCCCTTCCCAATTTTTTTTCATTAACTCTTAAATTTGTTTTCCAATTTTTTCATCTGCTGTTTTAATTTCATTTATGAAAACATGTTTAACAACTGACCTGGAAAATAGATCCAGGAGAGAGAATTTAAAAATTATTGGACTATCTGAAAGCCATGATCAAAAAAAGAGCCTAGACATCATCTTTCAAGAAATTATCAAGGAAAACTGCCCTGATATAGTAGAACCAGAGGGCAAAATAGAAATTGAAAGAATCCACAGATCTCCTCCTGAAAGAGATCCCCAAAGGAAAACTCCTAAAAATATTATAGCCAAATTCCAGAGTTCCCAGGTCAAGGAGAAAATATTACAAGCTGCCAGAAGGAAACAAGTCAAGTACTGTGGAAACACAATCAGGATAACACAAGATTTAGCAGCTTCTACATTAAAGGACTGCAGGGCATGGAATATAATATTCCGGAGGGCAAAGGAGACAGGATTACAACCAAGAATCACCTACCCAGCAAAACTAAGTACAATCCTTCAGGGGAAAAAATGGTCATTCAGTGAAATAGAGGACTTTCAAGCATTCTTGATGAAAAGACCAGAGCTGAATAGAAAATTTGACTTTCAAAGACAGGACTCAAGTGGAACATGAAGAGGTAAACAGGAAAGAGAAATCATAAGAGACTTATTAAGACTGAACTGTTTACATTCCTGCATGGAAAGATGATATTTATAACTCATGAGACCTTTGTCAGTATTAGGGTGGTTGGAGGAAAAAAATTATATATGGATGGATGGATAGATAGATAGATAGATAGATAGATAGATAGATAGATAGAAGGCACAGGGTGAGTTGAAGATTAAGGGGTCATATCTAGACAATAAAATTAAGGGATGAGGGAGGATTATACTTGGAGAAGAACAAAGGGAGAGGTAGAATGGAGTAAATTATCTCACAAAGAAAAAACAGAAAAGTCTGTTACAGTGGAGGGGAAATGGGGGAAGGTGAGAGGGAATGAGTGAATCTTATTCTCATAGGATTTGGCTTAAGGAGGGAATAACATACACATTCAATTGGGTATGGAAAACTGTCTTCCCCTACAAGAAAATAGGGGGAGAAGGGGACAAGAAAGCAGGGGGATGATAGAGAGGAGGGCAGATTGGAAAAGGGTGTAATCAGAAGTAAATAACTCTGAGGAGGAACAGGGTCAAAAGAAAGAATAGAATAAATGGGAGGGCAGAATAGGATTAAGGGAAATAGAGTTAGTTTTTCACAACATGTCTACTATAGACGTGTTTTGCATAACTGCACATGTATAACCTATATTGAGTTGCTTGCCTTTTCAATGAGGGTGGGTGGGGAGGGAGAAAGAGAGAAAATTTGAAACCCAAAGTTTTAAAAACATATGTTTAAAAAAAATGGGGTACAGAAGTCTATCCTGTCCTACAGGAAAATAGAAGGGGAAGGGGATAAGAGAAGGGGGGAGAGAAAGAAAAGAGGACAGACTAGGTGACGGGATATTCAGGATGCATGCCATCCTGGGGTGGGGGGAAGGGGTGAGACAGGGTGGAAATTTGGAACTCAAAAACTTGTGGAAATGAATGTAGAAAACTACAAATAAATAAATTTATATTTAAAAGAAAAAAAAAGAAAACATGTTTAAATTTTTTTAAAAAAATCTTGATTCATCTCTCTGAGGAGTTCTAGTTAAATTTGTGCCCAAGTGGTTTTTCTTTGAGGCTTTACTAGTAGATATTTTGGAGTCATTCTCTTCTGGTTTTGTGTGTTAAGTATCCATGTCAACAATAACTTTTTTTATGGTGGGATTCTTTCCTTGTTTGTTTATTCTTCCAGCCCACTTCCTGACTTCAGACTTGATGTTAGGACCAGGCTCTGCAGAGTTTTGTAGGGAGTGTCTTAGCTGGTCCTGTTGCTGCTTTTTGGGGGTATTGAGTCTTGTATTATTCTAGGATCTCAATGATAGGTATAACTTAGCATGGTGAGGTTTTTTTTTAAAATGAAATTTTATTTATATCATTTATTTGTGTATCTTCTAAATTCCATATTCCACTCACCCCTGTCTCCCTCCTGCCCTCCCAGCAAGTCATCCCTTATAATAATGAATTCATTCTAAAAAGAAAAAAAAATCAGCAAAACTAATCAATATATTGGGGGGAAAAATACTGAGAGCACATGCAGCTTTCTACACCTGAGGATCCCTCACTTCTGCACACTTGAAGTGAAAGTCAGGGTTGGTCCTACTGCTGCCCTGTGGCCAACGTCCCCGTCTCAGCCATGGTTCTTGCCAGACCCAGTTAAATACTTTGGCCATCTCACTTCACCTCTAGACCTGCAGCTTTCTCATTGATATAAGTGAATTGCTGTAATCAGCCTCTGAGGTCTCTTCCAAATTCTATAAAGATTACTGATTTCATGTCCACTGAACCAGCTGGAATTCTTCTCTGAGAAAAGCATAAATGGCTCAAGTTCCCCAAACCTGAACTTTCACCATGAGTGAAATAGCCTCCTCTTCAGTTTTATTCTCAGACACTTTGAAAAACTAATTTGCATATATTTAATTTCTTAACAAGCTGTTGTTTCAGCTCAGATTCTCATGTTTCAGCTACTTGCTTCTAAAAAGTCCTATCAAATAGTATTACCCCATAGTGCTAGCTTCTTTAAAGCTGAGCAAAGAGAAGCTTAATGTCAAGCTCATCCTAGGGTGGTGAAATTTTCTGTCACAACAACTCTGAGTCCAAGTCCTAGAAAGATTATAACCTGGGTCAGGGCAGGGAATACCTTACACTAGCAAAACCCATAGGTCCTTTAAATACTGAAGAAAGTTCCTAGGAAAAGAATCACAGGTTTCAAATGAAAAAAAAAAAGGAATTACACAGATTTTCATTGAAACAATTTACATTTTTAATGGCCAAACATATCTCATGAGATCTCATTCTTATCTGTTCCTAAAGGCACATGAAGATCCCATGTATGACATTATAAGGGAGAATAAGCGTCATGAAAAAGATGTGAGGTAAGGCTTTTCTGAATGAAATGATATTTACTTCAAATTTCAAATGGTAAAAATTTGGGCCTTAATTTTTTTTTTAATTCTTGACTTAAATGCTCAGAAAAAGAGCATTTCCGTACATGAGCAGAATACCCAAAGAAGATGCTAAATGAAATCCTAAGTCTCCATCTCATACTGCTTGCGTCATGTTACTCTTAAAGCTGCCCTGCTGATCTGTGCTTCCTTCAGAACTTCTTTTGTTCACCTTTGTACTTTACTGTTACAGTGCCCACTTCTTTTTTTTTGCTACCACTATTGCTAGTCCTGTACCCTTGACCCTTCACTCCACCTTCCCCCCACAACCATATTTACCAAGAGAAAAAAAGAAAAACTCTTGTAACAAACAGATATAGACAAATAGTCATGTCCAAAAGAGCACGTCTCTGTACCTGGTATCTGTCCCCACCCTGTCAGGAGGTGGTAACAGGCTTCATCACAGATCTTTTGGAGATGTGCTAGGTCATTTCAAAATTTTAATTTTGCTATCTTTGTATAAATTGCTCTCCTGGTTCTACTCACTGTCCTGTTTGTCAGTTCATACTATTCAATACACTAATGGACTGTTGGTGGAGCCATGAACTGGTATGACCATTTTGGAGAACAATTTTGGAACTATGCCCAAAGGGCTATCAAACTGAATACTTTTGACCCAGCAATACCACTACTAGGTCTATATCCCAAAGAGATTAAAAGAAAAAAAAGGAAAAATTTCTATGTGTACAAAAATATTTATAAGCAGCTTTTTGTGGTGGCAAAGAATTGGAAATTGAAGGGATACCCATCAATCAGAGAATGGCTAAACAAGCTGTGGTATATGGTTGTGATGAAATGCTGTTGTGCTGTAAGAAATGACAGCAGGATGGTTTAAAAAAAACCCGCAAAGACTTATATAAACTAACATAAAGTGAAATGAACAGAGAACCAGGAGAACACAGGAACAGCAAGTTTGTAACAGCGATCAACTGTGAAAGACTTTTCTAACAGTGATTCAAGATCATTCCAAAGGACTCATGATGAAAAATGCTGTCCACCTTGAGAGGGAGAACTGAAGTCTGAGTGCAGATTGAAGCATAATTTTTTCACTTTACTTTTCTTGCTTTTCTTTTTGCAACATATAGAAACATGTTTTCTATGATTTTACATGTATAACTGGTATCACATTGCTTGTCTTTTCTTCTCAACGGGGAGGGGAAGGAGAGAGAATTTGAAACTCAAAATTTTTAAAAATGAATGTTAAAAATTATTGTACATATAATTGGGAAATATTTAATGAAATAGATAAAATATATATAGAAGGTTGGGAAAAAAAAGAAGAGAAGAAGGAGGTAACTCCTAAGTCAAGAGACCCTTGGATCAGTACTGAGGAGCTGAGTTCCCAGGAAGCTGATTTGGTCAGCAAGGCCTCGTCCTTTTTAGTACTTTGATGCTAAGTCTTGCTGAGAATATGTGCATCCTGCTGCTAGAGGTTATGAGGTTCTAGGAAATCGACACTATACAGATGATAATAATAGCTAGCATTCATATGATGAGATTTGCAATGCACTTTACAAATATTACTTCGTTGGATCTTCACCATCCTGGGAGGTAAGGGCTATTATTTATACCTGTTATACAGGTGAGGAAACAGAGAGGGGAGACAGCAGTCAGATGACTTCCCCAAGGTCACACAGCTGGCAAGTGTCTGAAGCTGAATCTGAATTCAGATCTTATTGACTCCAGGTCCAACAGTCTACCCACGTCACCTAGCCACCTCTTAAATGGGATTAAATGAGGTTTAAAGTTAGTTGTACCTAGTTCACTTTTATATGATGAGGTTTTTGTTTAATGCATATGTCTCTGCTGATGGACCTAGGATTTAAGTTGTACTCATTTCCTTTTAATAAAAAGTAAATGATTTTTTTAAAAAATCATATTACTTACGATGCTTTGAAATCAGCTTTCATCATTTCTTCTAGCACAGTAATATTCCATGGGCCACAATTTGTTAAGCCATTTCCCAGTTATCCAACAGGTATCTAAAGTACTCCTTTAGAACCTAGTTCTTTTTTGTCATCGTCATGTCATCCGTCCTCCCCACCCCCTACTCCCCCTCCCCAACATCCCTCTTTAATCCCCCCTTCAGCATCAAGAAGTTTATTCTGCTTATGACTGTTCCCTCGCGGGTGTTGCTTCTTTCTGAAATCCCTCTCCTTATCTTCACTTGTTTGGCTTGATGTACTTCCATACCACACTGTGTGGTAGTGGTGGTATTTTTGTGTGTAGTCAACCTTCCTTTGTCCCTTTCAGGTAAGAAGAGGGGTTTATTTGATGCTCACTATGCCCATTCTCCCATTCGTGTTTGTATACTCTTCTCAGGTATCCCATTTATGAGAAATATCAATTCTACCCCATTCTTTCTCCTTTCTACCCTCCCTTCATTTTCCATCCTTTTAATCTTTGAACAAATCCAATCTACTCATGGGACCTCTGTTTTTCTTAACTCTCAATATCTGTTGAATATATTAAGGTTCTAAAGGGACACTTACACTTATTTCTTCTCCTCCATTAGAGTGTTAGCACTAAATCATCATATAGCTTCTTCCAGTCGGTCAAACAAATTCACCTTTTCAGGTTTCTCTGAACTCTTGGGTCTGTCTTTCAGAGTTCCCACTAAGCCCTGGTCTTATCTGAAATGCTTCAAAGTCACCTGTCCCATAAAAGGTCCATTTTTTTGCCCTGAAGGATTATATTTAACTTGGCAGGCTAAATTGTTCTTGCTTACAAGCTTATATCTTTTTATCCTTTTGGAATATTGTATTAAAAGGTCTTTTCTCATTTCTAGTAGAAGCTTCCAGGTGTTATGTGATCCTCACAATGGCTCCTTGGTACTTACTATAACTCCTCCTTTCTGGATGGTTTTAGTATTTTTTCTTTGTGTGGGAGTTCTAGATTTTGAATGACATGCCTGGAACTCTGCCTTTTGGGGCTCTTTCCAGAGTTTATTAGCATATTCTTTCTATTTTGACTTTGCCCTCTGGTTCTAATAAATCTGAGCAGCTTTCACCTGTGATTTCCTAAAATACAGTGTTCACATCTTTTTTTAAGAATCACTGTTTTCAGGGAGTACACTGATTCTTAAATTACCTCTCCTTAACCTGTTTTCCAAGTCAGTTGTTTTTGATATCAGGTATCTTGCATTTTCCCCCCCAATCTTTTGATTTTGTTCAGTTCCCTATCTTATAGTGCCACTGATTTCTGTTTGGTTTATTCTTGTTTTGAGGGATTACATTTCTTGACTAGGATATGCCACTTTCTGTGTTAAGCCTTTTATTCTCCTAATTCTTTCCTACAGAGCTTTTCTTTTATCTCGTTTCATTTCTTCTACATACATCATTTCTGGAAGATCCATTTTCTCCCTGCTTGCCATTCTACTCATGCTTTCTTTTTGAGGATCTCTCGGTTTGGGATAATGTTTTATACCTGTCAGTACTTTCTTTGATTTACTTTTATTTTCAGATTTAATTCCTAAATTAGGGTTTTGTGTCAGAGTCAACCTGTGCCCTCTGCTGCTTTGTTGGGTGGGGTGTTTAGATCTGATTGATCTTGCCCTGGGGTCTCCTGGGTTCTAAATAATGTAGGCTACCTTCCAGTGTGACGTCCACCTAAATCTTTGAAATTCAAAGGACTGGGTCTTCAAGGCCCACTCTGACATCTCAGGATAGAATGTTAGGGACCTTTGAACCTCTGTGCCTGGGATGTCCCAATCTAGTCAGGGCACTGAAGCATTGCACTAGTCACTACCTGCTTCAGCTCCCTGGGGCTTTCTCAGGGGAAGTCTTGACTCCTGCTGCCTCCATACATAAAACCTTGCAGGCTATGTATCCATCTCATCCCTGGTCCCCTTCAGAAATACTGGTACTGGCTTTGTGAAGAGAGAGATGATTAATGAGGAGAGGCATTACTGCCCAGGAGCTTTTGGCAGAATTTTTGTACATTCCAGGGTATAAGTACTTACCGTAGTTTCTTACTGGATTTCTTAGTCATTATTCAGTCTGATAACAAACTTCAAGGTTGTACTAGAATAGATTTCTGAGAGCCCCCTCTTCAGGTAGCCATCTTGGCCAGAAGTCCAAAATTAGAACTGTTAAAGGAAAGGCCTTAGCCAGCATCTAAAGATTAAGATATTGCTAATTTCAAAATGAATGGCTATATACTACTTTGCTTATTTACTTACTTTGCATAGACTCACAAGTATCCAGAAAATTTGATATTTCCAAGTTCATCCATAAGCCACAAATGGTTCTCTCTTTAAGTTTCTGTTTTTGTAAGTTATTATGATGCTAAGTTTTTTGGTAGAACAAAGATTCAACACTTGGCTTTGGTAAATAAAGGGTGTGAATCAAGATCTGTGATTTCAGGGTACTCTGAGGTAGCATGAGTTGCATCTTCTAAAAAGACTTGTTTTTTTAACTTGAGTTTTGTGTGTTTAGGATACAACAGCTAAAGAAGCTACTAGAGGATTCTACCTCAGATGAAGATGGCAGTACTTCCAGCTCCTCAGAATGTAAGGAGAAGCATAAGAGAAAGAAGAAGAAGGAGAAACATAAGAAGAGGAAAAAAGAGAAGAAAAAGAAAAAGAAAAAGAAAAAAAAGCATAAATCTAAGTCAAATGAGAGTTCAGACTCTGACTAAAAAGCAGTTTTCTTTTAATCCGCCTCGTTACTCCAGAATCATAGCTGAATGTCAGAGATACTACAGGAGAAGCAGACACAGAAAAAGGAACGAAGAAATGTGTGTCATTAGCATCACTTCTGTGGCATTTTGCTCTTGCTGCCAACAGTGATGAATTCAACATGATACTGAGTAGCTTCTATGCCGTATTGCAGGACTCACTGTCATCTTCCCTGATTACTGCAGTTTGTGATAGATTTTTTTTAAGAAAATCAAGCATAAGATATAAAGACATGAAGATATTCCAGGCATTTCCAAAAGAGATTTGATTCCCCCATGAAAGCAGAGGGTTAGTGGCGCTATAGGCTGACTTACTTGAAAATTCTAGATCTTCAGCAGTTGCAAGTGAGTGCTATTAGGTGTTGAATAATAACACTCAGTTAACTCGGACTTAAAAGAGAACATCCTTGCTGCAGACAAGAAGCTTGTTTAAATTATAATGGTGGTACACGAAAAAGGCAACCATATGAAATATTCCATCTTCATTATAATTATTTTGTTTAGGAGTCTGAACTCCACTAAAGTAACTGCTTCACAAAGATATTTAGGAAAAATTATTTTCAAGCAGCAAAAATCCTTTCTCTATGCTTCACCTAACTATACCCTAACCTACTCAGAACAAAAGAAAAACAAAACCCATTAAAAACATGTACTTAAGCAAAATAAATTTCCTATTTGTTGGCTGTGTCTAAAGAAAAAATACACATACATACCCATAATTTGTCTCATTCTGCTCTGAGTCTTTCACCCTTCTATTCGGTGATATGTAGCTTGTTTCATCATTGGTCCTCTAGAGTAGTGGTTGATCATTAAACTAAACAGAGTTCCTAAGTCTTTCAAAATTGTCTTTACTACATTGTTATCACTGCATAAATTGTTCTTCTGGCTCTGCTCATTTCACTCTGCATCAGTTCATACAAGTCTTCCTTTATTTCTCTGAAAGCATTCCCTTCATCATTTCTTATAACACAATAGTATTCCACCCCATTCATAAACCATAATTTGTTCAGTCATTCCCCAATTGACAGGCACCTCCTCAGAGTTCCATTCTTTGCCACTTCAAGAAAAGCTTATGTTTGTGTATCCTTAGAGTTGGTTTGGCCCAGAACTGATCCCTCCCTTCATCTACCTTTCTTTTAATTCTTCCTTCTCTCCCTTCCCTCCTATTTCCCTATTGAATGAAATCTTTCTGTGTCCAGCTGTGTTTTGTGTGTGTATTCTTCCTGCCTTTGACCAGTTCAGATGAGAGTGAGTTTCAAGTGTCAGCTGCCTCCCCTCTAGCCTTTCCTTCTTGTTTATACAGACTACTTGTGCCCCCTGATTACTCGAGATAATTTTCCCTAACCTTCTTTTCCCCCCCCCCCCCCCAGTATGTTCCTCTTCCCCTCTCTTTCCAGTTTTCTTTTAAGGTCAAGTTCTAAGAGAATCCCTCCCAGGCCTGCTGTCTAATTAGACTTTCTCTATGACCACTAATGATGATAGGCTTCATCTCCTCATGTTGGAATGTAAGCAGTTTATCCTTGTTTAGTCCCTTATGGTCGTTTGTTCGTATTTACCCATCTATGTTTCTCTTAACTCCTGAGTTTGAACTTCTTGTTTTTTCATCAGGAATGCTTAGAAATCCTTTAGTTCATTGAGGGTCCATTTCTCCCCCTTTATGATTGTACTCAGTTTTGCTGAGGAAGTTATTATCCTTTGCCTTGTAGGATATCATATTCTTTGCTCTCTGTTCCTTTATAGGGATGACTGCTAAATCATGTGTGATCCTGACTATGTCTCCTTAGTACCTGAATTTTTTTCTTTCTGGCTGCTTGCAGTAGTTTTCCTTTGACTTGGCAACTCTGGATTTTGACTGTCATCTTCCTGAGAGTTTTCATTTTGGAGTTTCTTATAGGAGGTGACTAGTGGATTCTTTCTATTTCTCCTTGGCCCTCTGGTTCTAAGAGATCGACTCAGTTTTCTTTTTCTCCTCAGCTTTTCCCAACTGCAGTCATAGCTCCTCTTCTCTTTGTGTCTAGTCACAGCTATTATTCAGTTCAATTGGATCGTTTTGCTTCTGGCATAAGAATGACTACCAAAGCCATTTCACTCTATCTAAACTGAGATCCTTAGTGGGATTTCTGGCACTATGATCATTTCTCTACCCTCCACTCTAAGTTAAGGCGGCAGTCTGAGTTTTCAGAGCTAACTAAGATTAGCCCCTCAACTTGCTGCTGAGCCTTCTCTCTCTCTGTCTCTTATTAACTTTTATCCTCATTCTGTTCTCTTAGGGATGGGGCAGGAAGCAGGTTATTTACTGAGTGTTTGGGTCCCAGGTCTTTGCTTCCCACAAGTGTATAAGAAGGCAGGTAGGTGGTACAGGGAAGAGTGTGCTGGGCCTGGAATCAGGAGACACCTGAGTTTAAACCTGGCCTCTGATGCTTTTTTTTAGCCATATGACTGGGGCCAAGTTACAGCTTCCCCAGCTGTAAAATGGCACATAGCACTTACCTTCCAGGGTTATGGTTAGGATCCAATAACATAACTGTCAAAGCACTTAGCAAAGTGCCTGGCACACACAAGGCACTCAATGCTTGTCCTTTCCCTACATCAATGGGGAAGTGGAGGATTTTCCCTCAGGCCCCATTCCTCTATTTCCCTCTTCCTTTTAGATGAGGCTTTACCTAAAACGGGGGCTTTAGACCTCTTGGAAGCTGGTATGGTCACATAACGGATTCTCCATTCAACTCAACAACTAAGTTCCATTTACATATGTTCAGTCTTTTTTTTCATGTTGCACTGATGCATTTTGCAGTCTTTATAATGATTGCAGCCAGCTGTCTGAAAGGAACAGTCTGCAGTGTGGTCAGTTCTCTTTCCTAGGTTGTAACTGATAACTAAGTACAGTTGGGGTTTTCATATTAACCGTAATTTGTCTCCACTGAATTGTAACTGCCACTTATCTGTTGAGGATCAAATGCCCTTCCCTTAGCTCATTTGGATTATTTGGTTTTTCTGGACGTTCTTTATCTATAACAAAATAATGACTAGTTCCATGGTGATTTGATTTTTAACGTTCTTTGCTGAGGAATCCTGTCAAAAAGTTTTTGAAAGTCTAAATAAGTGGAATTGTTCTTACAAAAGCCCAGTGGCCTTGCCCCCCAGTGCTCTGTTCATTTATGTATTCAATGATCATGTGTTTTATGGTACATTCACCAGTTTGCCTGGCATGAACACATGATTCATTTTTCCTCACATCCGCTCTGGAACTGTTGGATAGAAATCAGTTTATTAATACTAATGTGTCCTAGCCATTTCAACTACAGAGCTACGGGTATTTTTGGCCAACAATTTCATATTTCCACCCTTGAGTTCCTTTTAAAATTCTTGGGTAGATATCCTGTAGTCTTGGCACTTTTAAGATTAATCAATTCAGTTAAAATTCATTAAACATTTTTGAAGCTTTGCAGGGCTAAGTTACCAAGGATTTTAAATGTTAAACAGAGCATTTTGTTAAGACAACAGAGAACCACTGAAGTTAACCAAGGTAGAATGACATGCTTGGAGCTGCTCTATAAGATGTTCTGCCCTAGCTTTTTGCCACCTGGTGTGCCATTACTCACTCCACTCATCCTTGTGTCCCCTTGCTCCAAGATCAGTGGTCAAATAAATTTACTATTGTTTAAAAAAAAAAAGGTCAGTTACCCTATTGTTATATCTACCATCACTGTGAGTTCTCAAACCAAAATACCCTTCCTTGGTTACAACTTTCTCGTATTTGTTGTATTCTCCTATCATAATTCAAGGTCAGAAGTCTCATTTTTCATATTTGTGTCCCTAGCACTTAGCATAGTCCCCAGCACGAGGTAAGCACTTAAATTTTTCATTCAAATATTGAAAGCCTAAACTTAGATGGTTTACTCCACATATGAGTAGAGAGGAAAGGATCATAGAAGGGATTATTGCCTAGACAGAATTGATAGGTCTTTTCTGATTGGCTTTAAGGTCTAAAAGAAAAGAGTAAAAGATGACCAGGGTTACAATTCTGGGTCATTGGTCATGTCATCATTGAAAATAAGTTGTCAGAGAGGAAAAGCATTTTGGTAGGAGTGGTGAGAATAAATACAAAAGCATTTATTACTTGCTTACTATGAACCAAGTACTGCTGGATACAAATAGAAAAGTTCCTTCTCTCAAGAAGCTCACACTTTAATCGGGCAACAATAGATAGAGAAGGGCTCAAATACAGGACAGATGGAAAGGCACAGGGTTCCCTAGGGAGAGTCAGCAGGTCACGTGATTGGCCAGGTGAGGCTGAAGGGCACGTCAGAAGGGCCCATATTGTGGCCTGGTGGCTCCTGCATCATCCATTGGGGGGGAATGGGCACCTGTGGCATTTGATCCCACCTGAAACAGGTAATGAGATGAACTTTTTAAAAAGTTGCATCGCACTAGATACTAATGCTTGACATTTAATTAAAATGAACAAAAATCATGGGGATGTTTTGAATTCATGAAATTTCCTTATGAACACATGGAACACAAAGATCACTTAGTCCATTTTCCAGATGAATAAGCTGAAGTCCAGGGCTACTGAGTGACTTCTCCGAGGTCATCTAGCTAGTTAACAGACCTGAAACCAGAATACAGATTCCTTGACACCTGGCCCAGTGCTGATACACCATAATAGCTCCTTTTGGATTTACAGTTTCAATTAGTCCAAGAGATACTTTGTGCCAAAGCTGTAATGCTGTTGATCATTACAAATTGAAATGTTAAGACTAGCCCTTTATCAGTACCATCTTAGTTTCTTTATACTCTTAATTTTAATGGATGTGTCAGTGAACAGAGTACTAGAATGGGGTCTGGAAGACCTGGATTCAAATCCTTATTCATTTCAATACCAACTGTGCAACCACAGATAAATCTCACTTAATGTCTTTGAGACACAATTTCCTTATCTGTAAAATAAACATAATACTTGTGATACCTCACTGGATTGTTGTGAGACTACAAAGAGATATGTGCAAACCTTAAAGAGCTATATGAATCAGGTATTACTAGTATTTCCCTTCCTTATTCATCTACTGAAAGGGAGAGGTCTTTACCCAAAGGATCATCCCAACCAGGATCCTCATGTGGAATTTCCCGTGAGTTGCTTTTAGTTTGTGATTTTCATCCAGGTAATTTTGTGTGTGTGTGTGTGTGTGTGTGTGTGTGTGTGTGTGTACGTGTGTTTATGTTTTATAGCAAAAAGAGATTGAGCTGATCCAATTTCCTAATCAATATTTTTAATGTTAATATCTTGGGTCCCTGTCAGCAAGATTTTTATGTTCTTCATGATTCTAAGCAGGCTATTGTAATTAATAACTGCCTTTGGGCTTATACTGTCAAATGGCATCACCTGTACCTAAATTTCACGTCTTCGTCAAGAACTGGACAAAGAAGACATTCTCTAAAACAAACAACAAACATGCCTGTTGGGCAAAATATTCCCTTATACAACTAGCGGGAGAAAATCAAGGTTAGATTCCTAAGTTCCCATCCCTAATGTACTGCACTATTTATGGAAATGTAAAACTGGGGCTTAATTAGAGATCCCCATCCATGTGATCCCCAATCTGTAGAGAATCTTCCATGTTTCTCATCTTGTTGCTGTGGTAATGGCAAGAGAACAAGTGTTCCTGGAATCCCAGTGTC